TTCACCATATTATTATGCTCTATTGTTTTCATTATTATTTTAAGTTACACAAACATTTTATAGCACAATAAAAGTCTCTATTTTCATTTAATATCAATTCGGTGTACGTTTTTTCTCAATTCGATGCCCCATATTCCGCGGAATTGAGATCCACGGAATTGAGGAAAAATCACATTTCATCAAATTACTCGAAAATATTATAAATTACAACGATTTCTACCAAACGTAATGGCAGATATCAGTTAAATACTTAATTAATTCAGCAGTAATCTCATTAAATACTTCATGAACATTTTTAATATCGCACACCGGTTTGAGAAATGACCAGTGACCATAAATTCTGAGTGATTTCAAACCTCTGAAAAATGCTCCTCAAAACGACTGATCCCTCTTTTATACTGCTCGACCACTCGAGTGCAACTGCTAGTTTATGGGAATCAGGCGTGGGTGTTCGTATTGTGCGTTGTTAGTGATAAAGGAGCACAAAAGTAAAAATCACGGAATTGAGGCACACACGTCGGACAAAATTTAAATGTGTTACTGTATTAAAACCCAAGGACTTGCAATAAAGAAACTCATTTATATAGCTTTATTAACTATCCCTTGTTCTGTGAATGTGGGTTTCATAATGGGGAAGTTATGTTTTCAAAAGTTATGAAGCAAAAACGAGTAAATTCTGGAAACCGGACACTCCATTTTAAGCCAAATTTCGCCCGTTTTTGAACTTTCGGATTTTTTCAAGCCGAGATGTAAAACCTGGCGGTCTTCTAAATATGCTCTCCATCAAGTCAAGAGTCCTATAAATACGTGTGATTTTTTTCAAGTCCGTACTTCAATTTTAAAGGTACTTTTTTCGCCCCAGTAGGTCGATCGGTCGTCCCCGTAGAAATGCCCTTATATTGTACTAATTAATCACTTACCAGTTACAACAATAAACACTAGTCAGTGAAATGAAGTAGTTTTTATCATTTTTAATATTGTTTATTTTTTTACTATGTCCATATTTTTACATAGTCATAACCGGAAGGAAGGAATGAACCAACTGAAATTAAAAGCTATTAAATTAACAATAAGCAAATAACGTTATGATTATGAGGTAAGTGCCTTAGTTACTTACTGGGACGTAAAACTTACAAAGAGTGAATTAATTTTCCTTTTTTATGAATAATTATTTGAAATATTAACATAGTAATATATTCTGCGACTTACAATCAATCAAAATAGTCAATCATAACTATGTTTTAAAGTAAGATGGTGGTGGCATGACTGAGTCTTACTGGTTGAATATTTCTAAAATGTGTCTTAAAAATACATTTCTAAAATGTATTTTTAAGAAAATAAATGAAGAAAATAAATAAATGTATTTTTAAGAAAATAAATATTTATTTTCTTAAAAATACATTTCTAAAATGTATTTTTAAGAAAATAAATATTTATTTTCTTAAAAATACATTTTAGAAATATTCAACCAGTAAGACTCAGTCATGCCACCACCATCTTACTTTAACTTTAACAAACGCCAAAAATCTGTCAAACTCCATACAAAAAGCACCGGTTATTGCTATAGTTACCGTTAAAGTTAGGTGGTGCAACTCAGTCTATGTCTAGGTACTTACCTACTGTTTTTAACAATCAACATGAAATTGGGACTTATAAAAGAGCATTCTCAAAAACTTATTTAAAAACAAGACAATTTCTTCACTTTACTGAGTTTTTAAACAATTCTTGCTTAATTTACTTCTTGGTTCCCTCTCGCACAACCCTTGGGCGTGTCCAAGGTCGCCCGAGCCGGATGTCGAACTGCCTACGTCGTTTCCTCTGCTCTCCACCAGCCATCACCACAGTAATGTGACAGCTTAATACTCCATTAAAACCTCCTGTCAATGAGATCCCATCAAAAACAATACTTGTCAAAAAAAACAAGTCTCGCAACTCAGTTGTTCTACGGTAAAAAGTTGTGAGATCCATGTAATACCAAGTCCAGGCCAGGAAATCTTTAACGTTTTACATAAATTATTGACTTGGCCATTGCACTAAATAATTTAATTTACACGTGTTTTAATGCGATGGCCAAGTCAATATATTATGTAAAACGTTAAAGATTTCCTGGCCTGGACTTGGTATTACATGGATCTCACAACTTTTTACCGTAGAACAACTGAGTTGCGAGACTTGGTTTTTTTGACAAGTATTGTTTTTGATGGGATCTCATTCTTATATTCCAAATTTGAAGCTTCTAGGTCTGCTAGAAGTGCCTTAGAGTTTTGATGATCGGTGAGTCAGTGAGTCAGTGTCAGTGACAAAATTAAGTAACTTTGACCCGTTATAATTCTTAAACTACTGGTTCAAATTGAATGAAATTTTAAATATACCGTGTCTTTACAATGCCTGCATAGCTAATGAAAATTCAGCCTTCTAGTTTTATCCACAACGAAGTTACAGGCGGTCGAAAATGGCCTGAATTGCTTCGAGAAAAGGATGGTACGGCCGTGCCGCTTTTTTGCTCGACTTGGTGGGGGCACTGCCGTGCCCCCAGATCAACTCGTCAATGTTTCACTGATGAAAATAGTTACAGCTCATAATATCATAATATGCAGATGAATTCAAACTTATATAGTAACTAGCGGTCGTCCGCGACATCATACGCGTGGATCCCGTTTTACCCCCTTAGGGGTGGAGTTTCGTAAAATCCTTTCTTAGCGGATGCCTACGTCATAACTTCTACCTGCATGCCAAATTTCAGCCCGATCCGTCCAGTGGTTTGGGCTGCGCGTTGATAGATCACTAAGTCAGTCAGTCATTCAGTCAGTTACCTTTGAGTTATCCTTGATATCTTACATATTGTGAAAAACCTTTTAAATAAAAGTCTCATAGTTATTTTGAAACCATCTTTAAATAAACAAAGAATTAATTATTATTCATAAATTAATTTATTGCAAATTGATAATCATATCTTTGTTAAAAATATACAATATGCAATGTGCAAAAGAATAAAGTCTCGAAGAGCACTTTAATAAGTTATTGAAAAATATATTTTTTTAAATAACTTGATGTGGTCTTTATGGGACACCTTGTACACCTACGTGCTTCTGATTATAAATGAATAAATTGATAAGTATTTGAGCCCCAAATTGATATCAAGGTTAATGCCTATCTCATTAACGAAGCCTTCATGTGAACATTTCACTGACACCTCACGCCTACAAAAAGGTTTTATTCCTGTTTAACCTTTATTATATTCGTTTGTTTTATAAAGTAATAGATTATTTTTTGACGACATTGTAACAGGTAAGCGCTGGACGCTGGACGCTGGCCGCTACCAATAGATCAATGTGCAAAGCTTTAAGGGAAGCCTTTGTTCAGCAGTGGACGTACTGTGGCTGAAATGATGATGATGATGATGAGATTATTTTTATTTATTAATTTTCATTAAACGAAAAGAGTCCTTTCGGGAGAGAGCGCGCTTCCTACTTTGTTTCTTAGTTACCGCTGTAGAAAGTAAAAGTATTAACTACCAAGGTACGAGTAGGTAGGTCCCAGTGACCATGCCAGGGTTTACTAATTATAAATCAAAGCTTAACCTATTTCTCATTTAATTCATAACTATACTTAATCTATAACAACGCCCTCTTGAGTTCCACATTGAAAGTAAAACAAGCTTGAGCTAAGTTAGTGCTTAATTCATCTAAGTTTTCTAACTAAACAAGTAGGTGATTAAAGTATAACCATATATGCAGCTAGATGTCGTTATTATACCATATTTTTTGTGTGAATAGTTTTAGCTTCTACCCTGTAATATTAAGGACAAAAATGCTGTATACATAACTATGACTTAGGCTTGATCTATAATATTTGCTTTGCATTCACTAGTAGAGCCTTATTGCATTATTTTAGCAGTGAAACTTTTTGCCGTATATTTTTTTAACTACGATTAGGTATATTGCATCGGTGTTCATTGTATCTATTTCCCTCTGATACATAAGGGCAGAGCGTATTACATGCTCGCAGTAAGTTCTTAGTAACTTAATTGTTGCTTAGGGTTTTAATAAGTATATTAAAAGAATGTTAATTCTGATTAAACTATAGGTAGGTAATTAGTGTAAGATTTTAAACCTTCACGTTCCACTTCCAGGTACTTAGTGATTTTTTGTTGTCATTACTCAATTTCATTCTGTATTCTTTTACATACCTAATTATTAGATAATTAGTCTTCACAGCAGGAATGACCCTTTATAATTTTCCAGAGAAACATTCAGAATTTGGCCTACACTGCCCACGCTAGTCAGATGGGTTACAAAGACCTGAAAACTTTCAGACTTTCATACTTCTCATTTATTGTATTTGTTTTGAAAAAACATTCAATCAGAACTTTCACCAGGAAATGAAACACATAATTTATATAACAGTATTTTATTGACAGATATTTACAGTCAGTACACGTAGTATTTCGTCCACCTCACGTTGCCGCCGTTTTGCAAGTTGCGCGCGCGCAACGATTGAATTGTTGATTGTCGATAGTTGCATAACGTAATTACTTTAGCTCAATATTGGCACTTGTTACATGATATATTATTATATATTTACGTATTTATATACAATATATAATTGTTTATATTTTGAAATGTTACTTTGGTCAAAAATATAATAATTATAATACTTTAACAATACTGATAAGTACATACATATAATAATGTTCAATTATAAAGAATAGGTAAACACATTAGTTTTACACAAAATATTTAGAAGAATAATATTTAAAATCAGTACATAATAGTAATGTTACTTGTAAGTATGTCCATAATTATGTAAATAAATATAGGTACCGAAATATACATAATTATAAAGATAATTTTAATATCAGTTAATTTACTTGTACAGTCATATTATTAAAAGTTTTGTTAATAATACGATCAATAAATAAGAATACACCTAAATACGTATAATTTTTGTAAAATATAAAACGTTTTAAAGCTTTACAATCCAATATTTTACTTATTCTGAACATATTGACTAGCACTAAAATTATTATTTACATAAAAATCGTAAAAAATCGTTCGTATCGCTTTGGGAATAACAAAATATTATAATAAACGTACAATTACGGTCCTTATTTAAGCTAATGTCACATTACCGTGCCTAAATCAAGCTAATCTTCTTTCAGTAGACAGTTTTAGCCTAGTAATGTGATGTTAGCCTTTTAACGTTTACTTCCCTACAACAAAGTACCTAACCAGTGAAGTTGATGGTGTAAGAACCGGTGTTGGGGTCAAAGTTCTGTGCTGGGTGTCCCGAGAATGGGTTGTAGTTCTGGTTCTGGTAGTTTTGGGGCTGGTAATTTTGTTGCTGGTACGTCTGAGGCTGGTAGGTCTGGGGCTGGTACTGGTTGTAGCCAGCCGGCTGTGGGGTGTAAGAATTATAAGAGAATTGAGGTTGCTGGTGGTAGATCTGGCTTTGACCGCGGAATTCCTGAGGGAACTGCTGTGGGGATTGGTTGAAGAGGCTGGTCTGTTGGGAGTAGACGGGAGAGGTTCTAATGGGTTGAGGCTGGGAGAGGGTTTGGGGTTGAGAGTACTGCTGGTATTGAGGTTGAGGTTGAGGTTCAGGCTGAGCGCGGATTGAGGACTGGTGGAACTGCCTGAGAGGAGCTGGTCTGCTCTGGGATTTTCCGTTGTATTTGGGGTCTTCGTAGATCCTTGGGTCTTCACGGTACTGGCCGTCGTCTTCTTGGCCGTCAGTAAGCGCGTTAGTCGGGTGGTCGTTCAGAGTTGGTGGAGGCACCATGATGCCAGATCCTGGAATATAGAAAATACAGGTTTATTAAGAGGCTAACTTACATAATTGGAACTACTAAAAGATATTTTCACTTTGAGTGGCAAAGCATATGAATTTTAACATAATTTCCGTAATTAACAGTTCTTTAATCTGGGGTATTTTCTACAACGACGCAAATGTCATAACATTTAACATCTCTTAGCTCGCTAATTATGATAATAGAAGAAACAGTTGCCCAGTTATTTTCTCGTAAACGGTTATCAGAGCATGAAGGTCTCATGTGGTCTTCAGTTATTTCGTCATCTAAGCGTTCACGCTCTAATCTATTTATTTAATAGATCAATTATTAAATAACTTATTTCATTGTTTTATTGCTAAGAATGCACGCAATTTCGCAGTTTAGAGGATAAAGGTATAGTTTTTAGTGTTAAGTAACTGCTTTTCTATGGACTGCAAAATATTTTCACTAATTAGTTTCCGGATTCTAACAAATTAATCCATATTTATTAAATTATTTAGTTATGATTCAGGTAAAGCAAGGCTCTACACAGTTGTGTAGGAATTGAGTTTAGAAAAGTAATTCTCTAGAAAAGTGATATTTTCCACTTGATTTTAATCAAAACATTGTGGGCTATATTATAAAAACACATAGGGCTCTATAAATAAAATGTATGATTTTGTCTGGAATTTTGAGTTTTGTTACTATTTTTTTGCTAGTCAAATAGAGCGTTATTCATAAAATTAACTAAACATTCCGAAAATGATCAAAGATACATACAGCTCAAACAGATTAGTCAATTACAAATTATCCCCGACTGATACTACAATTATTGGATAATTTTGTTACAGTTTAATTTGCCATAATGACACGATATTACCATACTTGCGATACGTATCGATGGGTCTATGACAGGCCGGCTGTATTAGGCAATAACTAATGTAAAAACTGCCCTGGTTCTAATGGCATGCTCAGAAAAAACATGCCTTGGCATTCAATGACACCGTGCAACTTAAACTTTTAATTAGAATATCTGTAGTTACTTTAAAATCATTTTGTAATCAAGGCAGGTCTTAGTCAAGCGTCGCAGATATTTTAATGTAGCTAATTTTTCTATGACATTTGTCTTTGCACGTACAAAGTAGTTTTTTGTAGAGAATTCCGACACTTTGCAAGTTCCTAGTTATCGTCTTGTTCAAGTTAATTCAGAAAACAAATTCTAGTAAAGATCTGGACTAGAGCATGAAGACATCCCTGCTAAAGAAACATTTAATGTTATACAAATTAAATTGAGAAGTATAAGATAAAGTAGGATTAAATATACGACAAATGGCGTCTAACGGCATAAGTGAAAACGTTAGTCTTATTTTAAAAGGATGTTAACGATTTCAATTTCACCCTGTATGAAGTTATGCCACTGTGCAACAAAATGTTTACAAGTAAATCTTGTTGACTGTACCTAATCTTCTATTTAAGCAATGAAAAACATTAGTTAATTTAACAACTTAGAAGTTTTTAGTTGCGCTTTAAACCCACCTGTAGCCATTTAAGATTTTTAATGTGATAAGATTTAATCAAAGATTTTCATTTAATAATTACTTGCGCAACATGTTCAAACTAAGCCAAGAGCTCTTCAATTAGATCGATCTCTTTAGCAACTTGGCCCACTTTTAACAGTGTTTGTTCAGTAAGTAGAGCGGTGAGTGTCAGCGTGATATGAGTGATAACTACTACCATTTGAGCTTATGAATGAGCGGCATTTTCCTCAATTGCTAAATACGTAGAGTTATTTAGATCGATAGTAATTATTGTCATTGAAAGTCTTATGAAGTCTGAGTCAGCAAGAGCAATAATATGAAGGTCGATACATTTATAAAATTTATCACCAATTAATTGTAATATTAACTATTTACGACTTTATTTGCTACACTTGATTGCAAACTCGATATTTTATGTATACCTACATCAACGTCAAATAGTTCGTGATACCCAAAGTAAAAGTGTAAACAAAAAACCGGCCAAGTGCGAGTCGGACTCGCTCACCGAGGGTTCCGTACAAACCTGCAAGGTTTACAAAGTTCGTTCATTACGACAATCGAGTCATAACTATGGTATTTTTATTGCGAAATGAAATTCATAAGTTTATATTTATTGAAAAATATATATTTTGTAATGTAACTAAAAATTTAAGGTTTTCGGAATTTTTCCTTCATGTGTGCTATAAAACGTTGCTTCATGCCAAATTTCAAGATTCTAGGTCGACTAGAAGTACCCTTTAGGTTTTGATTCCCTTGCGAGTACTTGCGAGTTTCAAAATATGCAGCTTAAATTGCTGTTTCTTTTGATTGCGTTGACATAGAAGTTTGATTTTGTTACAACTTAAAGGTATTATAGACCTGAGTATTTGGTATGAATTTAATACCTCGACGCGTTTATGAGGAAATGGGTAGTAAGTTTAAAATTATGTAAAAAAAAAATATTATGTGATGTAACTAAAAATTTATGGTTTTCGTAATTTTTCCTTTATCTATGCTATAAGACGTTGCTTCGTACCAAATTTCAAGATTCTGAGTTCACGGGAAGCACCCTGTAGGTTTTGATTCCCTTGCAAGTGTCGAAAATTTGCGGCATAAACGACTGTATCTTTTGATTGCGTTGGCTTAGAAGTTTGATTTTTTCACAGCTTCAAGGGACAGTAGACCTGAGTAATTGATATAAATTTCAGCTTCATACCTCCACGCGTTCCTGAGAAAAAGGGTCTTGACAGACGGACGGACGGACGGACAGACGGACAACAAAGTGATCCTATAAGGGTTCCGTTTTTTCCTTTTGAGGTACGGAACCCTAAAAAGCGATAAAAAATATTAACCCTAGAGCTTTATGTATTGCATAGCTAATATGCTTTGTACCACACCAAATACTGGATTGCTAACTTATGTGACTAGTCACTTATAAATATTATCTTCTTACCTTGAGGTTCGAAGCCCCTCTGGCTGCTAGCACCATAAGATATCTCCCTCAGCTTGCCGCTCTCGTCGACATATCCGTACTTCCCAGCGACGTCTCCGCTGGGATACTTGGTTTCGATCTTGAAGGAGCCGTCGGCAGCTTCATAGCCGTAGCTGTAGGAGCCGTCGTCGTTCTGTCTGTTGATCTGCTTGAGGATCGGGACTGGGGTCGTGGTGGGACCCTGCTGGCTGGCGACTAGCAGCCAGGCTGCGCAGAAGGTTAATGTCTGGAAGAGAGAAGATGGATTTTGAAAATGTAGAACTGACAATGACTGATAGAAAAAGAACAGAAATTGTTAATTTAAGAAAAAAATACAACTCTCATTTGCACATGTGTCCGTTTAGCCAAGATCTGCCAGTTAAATTTGAGGTTTAAAATTGTTCAGAATGGAAATTAATTAAATTAAATTGAATATTGTGTCAAAATCAGCTGTACGTTTAAGTTTAATATTCTGTCAAAGTCCACTTTTGCATGCCGTGGCAGCCTGTAATTAAGATAGCACCTAGTCCTAAGACAAAATTATGTATGTAAACCCCTTTGCTTGAATTTGTGTCTGTCTTGTTGGTTGTCCTAATTAAATAAATAAATAAATAAATAAATAAATAAATGATATTAATCCCTAATATAGAAATTGATAAAAGACGTTTTTATGTGTCAAACTTTGTTAAGTTCAGTATGTCTTATTGGCTATATTAAAAATAATTATATTTTTTTTTAAATGACTATCGTGTCGCATCGAAATTTTTATTTACGATGCAGTGTGCTAGGGGCTTAGGGCATTTAAGACCTTAGTGTTTGTTTCTCATATTTTGAATAAAGTATGTATTTGTAGCATTCAGTCACTATTTCTTCATTTATTTAATTTGTTGATGACCAGATCAACATACCGCGATACGCACTTGCTTTATTTTAAACAGTAATGTGAACGCTTTAACCTTTTCCAGCCAACGCAAACCTTTAAGGCAATTTAACTACAGCTTCCCTCGACCTTTACGTACTGGTTAGTCCCACATGTCCTATACCTCCATACAGGTCTGGCCTTGATCTTGCGCCGACGTGAACACACGTGCGCGGGCGCACACGCTTTCGAATTCAGTTCAAGTTTACGCAACAAGCTCCGGTGATAATGGCTTCAATTGCTTTTAGATTTATTGTTTTGCTTAGTTTATTATGGCATAGCTATCAACAAGTAAGTAGTGGTAACAATCTCAAATTTTAATGCTCTTAGAATTATTGTGGCTATTGTTAGCACAAACTTGAAAAATAAAAAAATAGGTAATAAGATAACTGCCATGCTTAAAAGCTCTACCTATTTAATTGAATCACAGTTTCGCACACCAGGGAATTATAGTCACCATATAGTGACGGGATAAAATATTCTGACTCTGGTAACTAATTAAAATTAAAATTGAAGTTTTTATGCAGTTTAAGATCATAAATCATATTATCCGACAAAAACCAATGTAATCGATATTACTCAAAACTAAAATGATAAATGAGCTAATGATTTAGCGTTAACAACAAAGTTCTAAATTTTCTTTAGCACATTATTTGTAGGCTTAATTTTGTATGAGTTCATTAAAATACCTCGCAAAGGATAATTATTATTATACCGGAATCTCGCCAAATGAATACGTCTAGAATGTCTACAGCGCAAAAGAAGTGATTTCAGAAAGCTCAATCAATACACTGAGTTTGTTGCGGCGCTTCTTCTCAGCACTTGCCAAATGTTGGTCTCGAAGCGCTGGTAGGGTAAAAAGATTATGAGACATGTAGAGGCTCCTTAAGAGCATATGACGATTTGTAAGAACTATTTATTAGTCTAAACAAATAAAGAAATTTTGACTTTGACTTTGACTTTGACTTTGACACAACAATGCATATTATACCGAGCCGTTATACGAGTATAACATTTAGCTTTTTCTGTCTTCTTTACTCATTTCAGCTTTTAAAGTAAGTAAGAGAGGCAAAATGGAACCATTCTGCCTAGCACTGAAGGCTGAAATTACGGATATTTTTTATTGTTTTTATGTAGGTACCCTATTATGACTGTTTTAGTGACTTCTTTTCAAATTGGATCTACTTCATGGTTCTTTACACGGATACTTTATTATACGAGTATTAATATTTACACATATAATGCAAAAGAATCGTCAGCGCTTTTCTGAAAATTATTTCTTCCCCATTTTGTTTAGCGTAGGTACAGAACTGACTTCCTTGAAGAAAGGTTTCTGAAACTAGGTCTATTGTGCTAGGAGTCATAATCGCAAACAGACACCACCTGACCGCGTTGCCCAGTGAATGTCCTGCAGCCTTGACGGCCATATTGTATTATCGGTTAGGGCCACAGTTGGAGCAGACAGTTCTGGACCTTAAGGTATTCGTTCGTTCGTTCGTTTCAGCCAAATGACGTCCACTGCTGGACAAAGGCCTCCCCCAAGGTTTTCCACAATGAACGGTCCTGCGGTACCTTAAGGTATACTTCAGAGAAATACTGCTTGCAGCCATTCATTGTTCACAACATTTCTGGCTCGAACCAACCTCATTGTAGATAAAATAATGAAATAAAAACTGATTTCCTTCTAGGGCAAGTAAAGTCTTTCATGAAACATTTCAGTGTTAAATTCTCCAAAGATATTTATTTATTTTTAGCGTCTAAGTAGGTAACATCCCATGTGAAGTTCACAAGTGAAACTGGTACAGCATATTAGCAGTCATTTAACTATTTTTTTATGCATAACAAGACAGGTAGTCAAAGTCAAAATTTCTTTATTTGTTTAGACTAATAAATAGTTCTTACAAATCGTCATTTTGCTCTTAAGGAGCCTCTACATGTCTCATAATCTTTTTACCCTACCAGCGCTTCGAGACCAACATTTGGCAAGTGCTGAGAAGAAGCGCCGCAACAAACTCAGTCACCACTGTCTGCCGGTTAATATAAATAAATATAAATAGTAGTAGTAGGTACATTCGATTCAGGAGCAGTTCACTGAATTTACCATGCATTCTTGTATGGTGTATCTTATAAGAATGGGTATACAAGATTGCGTGGTATATTAAACAAGGTAGTGACGTGCTAATATCTAGACTTACATATTAAGATACTAGTAGAAATGACTCGCATACATAAATTTGAATAACTTGGATTGACCAGTCCCCGAAAGCAGCGCCTGTTCACAGACATGACGAGTGAACCAGCCATCGCTTCACTCGACCATATTGGAGGGAATGTAACGACCCGCCTCACTACGCCACCACCGCGGTATTTGACCGCAATTGCATCTGGTGTTAAAGATGCAGTCTAGGATGGATTTAATTTATCCAGATTTTCAAACCTTTTATCATGCTTCTCAATTTGGACCTACGTATTATGTAGACTTCGACTAAACTACCTAAATAAAATTTATTGCAAGTTTGATACTGAGTCATATTTTTCGTTAGGAAGCGGTGAAGGCACGACCTAGCTCAAAGTTATTGAGCGCTAACCTTAACAACTTTCCTGCTCTAAATATAGCAATAATAATAACAACAATAACAAGCTAATTCCAAAGATTGGGCGATACTAAAACAATTTGGTTGCACAAGAGAAACGTTTTCAGTTCAACAGCTTTATTTGAAAGGTGGCTTTTGTGTCAATATGATATTAATTTTGTGTCGCAACTACTTGTAGATAATGCAATTTAAAACTAATTAAATTTAAAAAAAAATATCCACATCCTTGGCCTAACTACCTACTCGAACAAATTAAAGTTCATTTTTATATTTTATAAGACAGTTACGAGTATATTGTTTTACAACTGAAATAAAGAAACAAAATAAAAGGAAATGGTTTATTTAAAGTTAGATATTAGAATTAGTAATTAATCCTGACAATATTATTTAAATGAATGCTAGGAATGCGTCTAAAAAATAACCTTCCTGTCACGCACTTTGTTGGTAACTACACAGCAGAAGTGAACAAAGTAGGCTCGGTAACTAGACCTTATCATAGCATTTGGGTCACTATCGTGTACCTACATATTATTATGAATTATGGGTAAAAGCTGGACAAACAAAATGAATTATGGGAAAAAGCTGGACAAACAACCAAAACATCAGCCAGATACTTTTGACAGTTCCAACTCCTTGCCAGACAGTTTTTTTAGGATAGCTTCCAAAGCCACGATGACCCAAACTTCATAATGCACCAACATTCTGACCTATATTGGGAGCATACGCTGACAAACTTTCAGCTTTTATAAAATGACATAGGTCTGGCGTGCACCAGCTCTTAGTCTAACCAGGCCTGGCTCACTCCGCGCGTACATCCGATAAATACTTACAGCGAAGCGCCCCGCCGGCGGGTATTATCAGTCGAGTGTCACGCGCGCGCCCGTCAGGACGCTGGCGTGCGTTGTAGTACCTAATTCTATGATCGAAGTATTATGTAAAAATTGACATAAAGAGAAAGAAATATTATTGTGCCGCGTTCGGGTGTTTAAATTCGAAAAGAAATCTACCGGATTTATCTTTTTTTTTCGCTTCCCAAAGATGCTGAAAGGTGTGTTGGCCATGTAGGTAATCAATAATTCTTAGGATAGAATAGGAACCTAACCTACCATGACTACTGCTCACAGAATGCGTTCGTTCGTTTCAGCCAAAAATGACATCCACTGCTGGACAAAGGCCTCTCCCAAGGTTTTCCATAATCAATGCGTACTTACCTACATACGTACCTCATTACAAATAAGTAGATTAATTATTTTTTTACAAGACACTACTAGACAGCAACCCTAACAGCGTAAGAAGAGTTCAGAGGCACGCGATAGAAAGAGACAAAACTTGTAGGTGAATAAAATTGTTGGTACTTAGTGCTGTGCGAGCTGAATTCCACTGTATCGCGTCGTAGCAAGACTCGCATTTATTTAAATCGTCTTGCGGAGTAATCCTTCTGTACCTGTACTATTACTTATTCTGTGGTCTAACATGTTTTTCACAGGAAAAAGGCACTTAGTGTTTATTAATTAGATGATCGTAGCTTACGCTACCTAGTTCTGTTGCAACTCTAACAGCCTCGGTTGAGACCGCAAACTTAAAAAAAAGCCCTAACCTTTTAAATATAATTTTATCCTACTAAAATTATAAATGCGAAAGTTTGTATGGATGTCTGGATGTTAACATGTTTGGTACTTTTTCACGCAAAAAGTACTATAATGGAACTATACAGTATTATTCTTTATAACCCAG